CGTGGAGACGGGGGGAGCAGGGGGGAGCGGGGGGGGGGGTGCATTGGCCGTAACCCTTGCTACGCCACTGTGTCTTATTTGAAAAGAAGTCTATCGATTCTTTCTTTTCTTCCCCACCCCCCTTTCCTCAACAGGTCATTCTACCAACTACGTTGTTGCAGTCTATCTTCCTTCCAACAACACACAAGACTACTGGATAGCCAAAGGGGCGGCACTCTTGTGTCAGCTCAGTGATTGATGACATTTTTAACCGTATGAAATCAAGGACAAGACTCAAATAGCATAGAGCAATGAAATGATCTCTTAGAAAATTAATTTTCAGCAAATCTCTCTCGAATGTCATATAACTCTCACAATAACAACATAGACCATTATAGTATAATTTATACTGATGTTGTTTTTTTGTTTTTTTTTAACTTTCGGCTATTTTTTAAATATATAATTGCCCTGCTGCATTGGTTGTAAACCAAATCTCAGTATACGTGACATATTATATCAGTTCATTACATAGATGCATGCAGAGCCGAATCCATGCTTCTCGGCGCCTTGTGCGATTTCTCAATCTTGGCGCCCACCCACCTCACCCGCCCAAACACAGCGACCGTATTACGAAAACATAAAGAATTTCGTACAAATCAGTGCCCCCCCCCCCCACTGAGCTCTACCGGGTCTGCCGTGCATGTTATCCACTCCAAAGTTTAGGGTCTGTATGCAGGCTTACTTCGTATCTAATGTAGCGCACACATTTCATTTATACCGGTACAAAACTGTGTCAAAATACAACACTGGCGATACTTACTAGAAGCTCCATTTATGCTATGCAATTTTTCTTTTAACCTTTGCCCCCCCCCCCACACACACACGCGCGCGCACACACAAACCATGGGTCCAGATAATCCATGTCACAATTCAATTAATTCATATACGAGTTGGGGGAGGGGGTGCGACGATTGTGACATGTCCTTTTTATTATTTTATTTATTAAATGTAATTGATAGTAAATCTATTTAATTATTTATTTTTTTTACATTTTATATTAAGTTTTATCTGTCCACTGCAAACAAACATTACAACCAAAACTGTGTTAAATCGCATCATTTTATTTAATAGTTTCGTATAGTTCTTCACTATTTTTAAATATTTTTAAATTTTAAGAGAGGACATGAGTTGTCAAGATATTTTTTTCAGGTTCGAGTGAAGCTATTTCTGGACACACTGCTTATTTTATTTTAATTTTTTTTTTTTAACTGTGACTTACTTTGTAGAGAAAAGTCCTCCAATGTATTTTCCAATGATTTTTCTACACGTTTTGTGTGTATTTATCATATAATGTTGCTTATATGTATAATATAAGCTAATGTACATATAATGTTTAAAAACTTAAATATATGTGATACAATTATTTGACTTCTTTCTTAATGTTTTCATTTTAAAATTCAGTTGCAAGAGGTTTTTTTTTTTTTTTTTTTTCTTTTTTTTTTTTTA